GGGGGGGCGCTTTCTCTTCTAAGATCTTATTGTACTTTTTAAAGTCATTTCTTACCTACGACTTAACGTTTTGTTAATTAGCTGCAGTAAGCTCCTATCCATTCAAAAATGCTCTTATTTTCAAAAGCAGCACGGATGACCACAACCTGTTTGCCCATATCCCAACAGTCATTCCAAACCCATTTCCCCACTCTTAAACCCAACACTGTCATTCCCGACCCATATCCCCGCTCCTTAGTCTTATTATGAATAAACATTCCTAAAAGACATTTCTTTTGCTTATTCCATCCTTTCCTTCCTTTCATGCTCCTTTCCAGCCCCAACATCGTAATTCCGATGCGACAGTACAACTACAATGGGAAAAAAGCCACAGCACTGGGTGTGGGTTTCTGCCTTCACCTGGACGAGAAACTAAGAACACGCCGTCATGGGCCTGTGTCACACTTGATAAGACACTGGTCGACTTCATGAATTGGCGATTAGTCGAGAGCGATTGTCCCCTCACAACGGGATTTGTCCCGCCTGAGAACACCGGTCAGGAAGTGCCCACCCCGCCTCCGCCCACCCACTCACCCCTTGTAACCCCCCAACCAAAACAAAAACAAAAAAACCCAACAAAGAAACTAAACCAAACAAACAAAAAACCCTCCTGACAACTAGCCAAACTAAGCATAATATTTCCCCAAGTGAGGAGGGTCGGAATTGCTGACCAGTAGCTCCATACTGTGCCCCGAGGCCACCTTCTGAGCGGACTCTTACTAATCATCTATTGTACACACGCCAACATTGCTTTGTTCTGTTAAACCTTGCCTTTAGTTGAAGTAAATGTTTTTAAGCACTTGCAACACAATTACGTCATATTATAAGGGACGAAGATTAGAGATGTTACACGAGAGTTTTGAAAAAAATGCAAAAAAAGAAGATATAAAGACAATAGATGCTTGATAGGAAAGAAGAAGAAAACCACACCAGAGCACTCGCCAACCACGCACAGATTTTTCCCTAATGTGACTGGTTTTGCGCAAATTGATGTACTAACATTTGAATATAGCTCAACCCGCTACCTCTTCAAAGTACACATACCCATAAGCCTCGCGTTTTAGTCCTATTAAAAGTGCCTTCTAAATGTGAGTTAAGGGGGGGGGGGGGTAACACCTGAAGGCTATCTCGCTTATTACAGGATAAAATTTTATTAAATTTCACACATATAACAAGCATATTATGGAGTCTTAAAATCCGCGATCAAATTTGAGAAAAAAGTTTCGTTTCCATGGATACAGCGGCCATATTGGATTTTGTTTACATGTCTTACGTAATGAATACCGCACTTATTGTTCAGGGGAATTTTTTTATTTTATTTTTTTTGCATGCGTGTTAACAAACATTAGATCTAAAAAGTCTTCCGTTGTTTGTTTTTTTCCTAAAGGAATTAGAACATTTTTTATGAATTTTTTCCTGAGGTAGCATTCAAATTTGCAAAAAAATCCGTGAAAATCCATACTCTAGACACCACCAACAAACATCTATTCCATATATCAAAAAATTCTACAGAAAAATTTTTTGTATTACATCTTCTTTTCATTGTGTAAAAATTTATAGAAAATTGGATGAAAAATGATGTGGTTATTCAAAAAAATATAGAGAAAAAGTCGCGTATTGAGAAAACGGCCGACTAAGAAAAATAAAATATTGACTTTATGAGGAAATGGAGGTGACAAACATGCCCGGTATGGGAAAAAATGCGGTTTTTTGGCGGTTCTTATGCAATGATATAGTTGTAGGAGAGGCTGATCAGGAAGCTAAAAATGCCTACAACTCAAATTTCATACTTTTGAGTAGAATTAGAATCGGGACGTTGGGGGTGTAGCCGGCCTCCCCCTTAAGAGTTCACTTGAAACACACGAGGAAGTTAAATCAATGGCACAATTATATTTGCATTCCACTTGCAGATTTCGCTTACTTTCGGCACCCACAACACAAATAAGTCATATGGGAGCCGGAGATTGCAGGTGTTACCACTAGTGAGTAACACAAAAATAAAAAAAGGAGGACTATTAAGGATGACAGATATATTTTGATAGGAAAAAAGAAGCAAACCAAATCAGGGCACCTGCCAACCACCCACCCACATACAGGGGCCCTCCGCTAAGAAAAAGGCACTAAGTGCCAGCCTCATAAGAGGGAAACGTTAGGTAAATTATATTCTGTATCCTTCAGCAAACACACCAAAAAGGAAGTCCCCTCGCTGGGAGCGCACGGTTCCTCAGAAACCCGTGGACTTGCTCCGCAATTCATAGGACACAACAAGGTAGTGCTTGCCGCAGATGCATTACACTGTATAAAAATATTTACTCATGAATCTCCCTGCTGAGCCGTAGAGCGTGGCAAGCCAGCCGAACCCCACCCAGAACGGGAGAAAGACAAGCAGGTTGCCAGCATAATGGAAATTTAGTACAAGTTAAAAAGAAGAAAACGGGCAGCAAAATATGATATTCTGTAACATTTACCAAACAGATTTAAAGTTAAGTCCTCATTGGGCGTGCGAGATCCGACAGAAACCAACAACATTATTTCATTAACAAGAAAATGGGGGCTACTCTCCTGCTCTCTAACAATGTTCTATAGTCTGCTTTCGTCTCCACTTTCTTCAACCACGAGAGAGGGGGAGAGAGAGAGAGAGAGAGAGAGAGAGAGAGAGAGAGAGAGAGAGAGAGAGAGAGAGAGAGAGAGAGAGAGAGAGAGAGAGAGAGAGAGAGGGAGAGAAGTAGAACCTGCCAGTGGCACCCTTCAACCAACCGTGGATTGGTGCGACAAAAAAACACTAGAAATAAGTAGATGGGACTCGCATGGAGAGGACATTATAATAGCTCGGAAACATAGGAAGGACGATGTCCGGATGGTGAAATAACTATTCTTTTTATCCGAGGGAGGGAGGGGGTCCCTTTCCAAACGACCTCCGTCAGTGTCAAGTTGACCCCTTTCAATGTCATAGAGAACATCAAAGCGTATAAAACAAAGGAGACAACAAAACAGCAAGTTGGCATGATGTACACGAGCGAGATTTTCTAAACGGTTTTATTCTTTTTTGTTCTGTCAACTGTATTGTTTGTTTTGTTGTTTTTGTTTTGTTTTGGGTGGGGTGGTTTTGTTTGTGTTGCTTTTCCTTTTCTTTTTCTAAAACCAGTGTGAGCGATCTGCCCTTTTGTATTGCTGATGGAGTTTACTTATGTGCAAGTGAGTCCTTTATGGTTGCACGTCCGAAGAATGGAGTTGTGACTCCGCACAACGGGGACTTGGGCTGAAACGACGCATGTCGGCAAAACAACAGCGTGCTTTAAAAAAAGGAGGTGGGGTGGAAAAGACAGAAAAAGTTACAGGTGTTGAGTTGTCGTTTTTTTAAAGACCTTTCATCTAACCCCGACAATAACACGGATACAATACATTCAGCAAAGGTAAACTCGCGATAAATAAAATTAGGCCTACACAGACTGTAGTTTATGGTTGGTTTGTTTATGATTTTCACTTCCCTATGAAATCTCTTTTATGAGATTTTTTACTTGTGTATTTTGTTGTGGGTTTTATGGGGAGGGGGGGGGGGTGCTGCTACAAAAGGTGGACGGCTTTTCACACGTTGCTCGAATTCCGGGAGCTTGAACAGCCGGCCGTTTGTCCTTTTATTAGCAGACGATTCCAGTCAGACGGAGAACACAATTCGCACTGTACTGTGAGAGAGAAAAAAAACATCTCTTACTCAAAATCCACACGGTGGTACAACATCCGTCTTCACGCATAGGGTGCCTTTTAAAAAGAGAACCCACTTAAAGGTCAAGAACTTGATCATCTCTACACTAATTTTTTTAAACTTATAAAAATTTCATTCAACCAGGAGAACGTTTGTAAATATGAAGAAAGTCAATCAACATGTTCGAGAAATATAAAAAATTTAAAT